GGCATGGCGAAGTTTACCATCTTTTGTGGAAGGCACCGGACAGGCTGCCACGTGAGCCGCTTATGGACTCCCTGCCCGCACATTCAGGTTTCAGCATTTGTCGCTGCCGTCTCTCAAGGACGGCACGCTTCACAGATCACCACTTTGGGGTTGCTGGCTCTGAAGCCCCTGGGAGCCGTCTGGGCCTCGTGAGGGGCGCTACGTATGGAGGCCGCCGGGGCCTCCTGAGAGATCCTGGGGACGCGTTTTGGGCCAGGGGCACTCCGTGCAACGCGCAGACGTTGGGGAGTTCAGGGTCCGCGTCTTGTCGTGCGCGGCTCGGACAAGGGTAAGGCCGTTCCAGCTCGAGGGTTCCCGAACAATCCCAGAGCGTTCCGGAACGCTCTCAGAGAGAATGCCGCGGCGCCCGAGACAGCCTCCAGAGCCGCCAGATCCCAAAGATCCCTGATCTGTCTTGGTCCGATGTGGTCCCTGTTCTGGCCTCGTCGTGTGTTGCTGCCCCCCCGTGGACCTCCAGCACAGTCCAGTCCAGCGGCCTTGCGCTGGCCACAGCGCGTGAGCGGTGGGTGGAGCTGTGCACGGGAGCGGATGCCTTCAGCACGCCGCCAATACTTTGGCTTAAGTCGGGCCTGTCCCTCTCTCTACAGGAGGAGCACACACAACAATAGCCAAAAAATAGTCAGGGGACGATTTCTGTGAGTATTTTCTTGATTTGGTGCTCATACTTTGGGAGCGTGCTTCATTTTTCGTTGAAGCTCCTCCTGTAGGTGGGCATGCCCGATCGAAGCCTCGACCGCCATGCCGTGGACCCCCCCCCCCCGGGCAGAAGTGCGGGCGCCCGGCGGGGGCGCGGCGAGGAGCCGCGCGGCTGCACCTACGACGGCGACGGGACCGTGTACGCGGGGGCCTCGGGGGGGGGGGGCGGGGCGACGGCAGGCCCCCGTGGCCACCCCGTTCGGGTTGGCCCAGGAAGGGGGTCCGGCGACAAGGGGGTGGTGCAGTAGATTTGGTGCAACAGATTCGTGGGGCTGCAACACATCAGGAGGGGAAAAACACACACAGACACAATGAATCGTCGATCCCCCAGAAAATATGTGAAAATACGGGAAGGGGGGCGGGAAGACGAAGACCCCAAACATCTAGCAAATGTGGGGAATCTTTTCATTTGTGTGTATTTATTTGTGTGTCCTGGGACCCCTTCAAGCACACTTGGGGCGTGCAGTACATTCCCGGGCGCAGATGTGTTGCTGGATTTTCGCATGCAGCACATTGCTTGCAACACAACGTAATCCAGTTCTCCGGCGCAATGCATTTGTAATACAATTGCCCCACATCTATTGCACCACCCCTTTTCAGCTGGACCCCCTGTTGGGTCACCGAAAGTCACGCCCCCGTGGCCACCTTGTGGGCCGTCGTCGGAGGTACACTCGGAGGCCCACAGGTTGGTTCACCAAGCGCGTTCCGCTGCTCGCGAAGTGCCTGCTCGTATCCGCGGCCTCGCGGGCTGGGCCCCTTGGGCCGCAACCCAGCGAAGACTTTCTTTTTGTCCGCGGATGCCCCGCGCGGAACGTATCGGTGCGACCGCGTATCCGCGGGATCGTGCATTGCATTAGAATCTAGACCGCGAGGGCGCGGATGCGGATATGTTTGCCGCTTGTGAATCAATACATGCTGTGCGCCTCCACCGAGGAAATCTAATCCTGATCTCGGCGATTCTGGATATATTCGGGCTTTTCGGGCGGCCGGAAGATTCCCCCACCCATCCAAACATATAGCATCATCTTCCCCGGTGAAGGCAACGCTTTGTATCGGTGACAATCTCCAATCCTCTACGGAACTGTACGAACCTAGACTTCCGAAAGTTCGCGCGGATGTCTTGGATCTGCTCTGGCCCGCCTGGCAGCGCCTCCGGCGCCGCCCCCATCGCGCTGAGCCTGCCACATATTAGAAGGGGTCAAGCGCGGATCCAAGAAATCCGCGCGGACCTCCGAGCGTTTATGTCCGTGTACTCTCTCTGTTCCTCCACTTCTGGCTCAAGGTTCCTTCGCAGCATCAAGCAGCATCAAGCGCAGCATGGCAGCGACAAGTACTGGAGCATGGCAGCGACAAGTATAAGAGCCTCAAATTGAAGCCGCAGGGCAGCCACCCTGAGGTTCCATACAAGAAGTTGGCGAACACGCTGAATGCCGATGACGATAAGGACGGCGAGTTGGGTGTTGGGAGTGATGGGCAAGGAGAGAAGATGGACATGACAAGCATGATCAGGACCATGATGTGCATGATGAAGGGAATGAGGAAGGACGTGAAAGCCATTAAGAAGGAGACAGAGGAGAAGCTGAACAAATTTGAGCAGACGGCCCAGATCGCCAGCGACACCGCAGGGAAAACCTTCGAGAGGCGAAGAACGCCAGTGGCGAGATGACCAGTATGACTGAGAAGGAGAACGAGCTCGAGTACGACCTGAAGGATGTGCGAAAAAACATCCGGGACTCCATGAAGAACGTGGCGGAAGAGCGAGTCCATCAAAAGGCGTTTCTTGCGCGAGTGGTGCATAACCCGACTACCCGGGAGGACAGTCAGGTGAACGATGACGACGACGACAAACGGGATATACACGTGATTGTCAAAGGCCTCGGAGAGGAGATGGGCCAGGGTGACATCGTATAGGAGGTCAGAGTAGTGGTAGAAGGGAGTGGGATGAGTAGCAAGTGCACGAAGTAACAACATCCAACGGCCCATCCAACTTCGGAGTCGCGTGCTCAAAGGTATCGCGGCCAAGCTTGGTTTCCTGAAGAAGGTGAACTGCAATAGCCACACAAGTGGACGAGCGGCTCCGACATGGCGCTCTCGTGGAACGACCCGTTTTTTTGTTGATTTTTATTTGTATATATATATATATATATATATATATATATATATATATATATATTGAAAAATCGTGGAGTCTAAACGAAATGGAAACTTCAAACGTATGCTCAATGGGAACCTCGGCTAGGACATGGAGGGCGTGAATATTATGGATCAGCGGGGTGATCACGTCGAATGGCAAAAAGGCTGCGCGGGTGGAGGGAGGCACTATGAAGTATAAGGCGCCGGGGGAGCAGGTAGAGGAGACAGCCGATACATGCAGTGAGGATGGGATCGAGGTGCGGAATAAGGATGACGCTTGACTTGCAAAGGTCATTGCATCAAGCGGGGGAGGGTGAGCACGATGCCATGATGTATGTGGGTGTCTTCCTCTGGCAGCGCTGCGTGGCGTAAAGACGCGGCAAGTGCAGGAGAGAGCATCAAGTGCACCGCATCACACGAAAAACAAAAAAACACGATTCAGACACCGCCTTATTTGAACATTCTCCATTCCCCGCGGAGCCGGGTGCAATTCCGTGCCCACTGGTGCCAGTTGAGAGATTGACTGACTGAACGTCAGGAGGGCGCCTCGACCGACGCATTTCAACCCGCCCGCGGGCGCGCAGCCGCATCTGGGCGACGCATTTCGACCCGCCCGCGGGCGCGCAACCGCAACCGCACCTGGGCGACACATTCAAACCCGCCCGCCGGCGCGCAACCGCAACCGCACCTGGGCGACACATTTCAAACCGCCCGCGGGCGCGCAACCGCAACTGGGCGACGCATTTCAACCCGCCCGCGGGCGTGCAACCGCGATTGCAACTGGGCGCCGCATTTCACCCCGCCCGCGTGCGCGCAAGCGCAAACGCAACTGGGCGACACATGTCAACCCGCCCGCGGGCGCGCAACCGCAACCGCAACTGGGCGACACATTTCGACCCGCCCGCGGGAGCGCAACCGCTACCGCACCTGGGCGACGCATTTCAACCCGCCCGCGGGCGCGCAACCGCAACCGCACCTGGGCGACACATTTCAAACCGCCCGCGGGCGCGCAACCGCAACTGGGCGACGCATTTCAACCCGCGCAACCGCGATTGCAACTGGGCGCCGCATTTTGACCCGCCCGCGGGCGCGCAACCGGTACCCCAACTGGGCGGCACATGTCAACCCGCCCGCGGGCGCGCAGCCGCTATTGGGCGACGCATTTCAACCCCGCCCGAGGGCGCGCAACCGCAAACCCAACTGGGCGACGCATTTCGACCCTCCCGCGGGCGCGCAACCGCAACCGCACCTGGGCGACACATTCCAACCCGCCCGCCGGCGCGCAACTGCAACCGCACCTGGGCGACGCATTTCAACCCACCCGCGGGCGCGAAACCGCAACTGGGCGACGCATTTCAACCCGCCCGCGGGCGCGCAACCGCGCGCCCAACTGGGCGACGCATTTCGACCCGCCCGCGGGCGCGCAACCGCAATCGTCACTGGGCGGCGCATTCCAACCCGCCCGCGGGCGCGGCAACCGCACCTGAGCGACGCATTTCAACCCGCTCGCGGGCGCGCGGAGGCGATTGGGGGGCGCATTTCGATCCGCCCGCGGGCGCGCAACCGCAGGCGCTTCTGGGCGACGCACTTCAACCCGCCCGCGGGCGCGCAACCGTAAACGCGCCTGAGCGACGCATTTCAAACCGCCCGCGGGCGCACAACCGCAACTGGGCGACGCATTTCAACCCGCCCGCGGGCGCGCAACTGCAACTGGGCGCCGCATTTCAGGCCGCCCGCGGGCGCGCAGACGCAACCGCAACTGGGCGACGCCTTTCAACCCGCCCGCCGGCGCGCAAACGCAACCCCCCTTCCGGGGGATCTGAGGCGGAGGAAGCGCGGGGGGGCGGCGGGGGGGGGGGGCCGGGAAGGAGGAAGTAGGGGGGGGGAGGGGAGGGCGGAGGGAGGGCAGAGAGCTCGCAGCGATTGGGGGCGGACAACTTCTGCCCCCCCCCCTTCCACGCAAGTGGATCTCCACAGGCTCCAGACCCTGGATTCCTGATCCAAGGCCTCCACGGTCTGCTAGCGGAATGGGTGGGTTAAGCGCCCCCGAGGGGGGGACGAGGCTTTGACAGAAGCGGTCCGTTGCGCCGCCTACTTTGAAGTTGGGGGGGCGATGCCGCGGGGATCGATTGCGCGTTCACCCGCGCGCAAGCTGCCCGCGGAAGTAGGTGCATCGTCGCCGTCTTATTCGGCAGTTCTGCCGCGTTTGATTCGTGATCTGGCGCAGGGCAGGCGGGGGGGGGGGGGGGCGAGGGGGAGGCAAGCGGGGGGGGGAGCAGGAGGAGGAGGATGACGAACGGCAGGATGAGGAGGAGAGGAGGAGGAGGAGGAGGAGGAGGAGGAGGAGGAGGAGGGGGACCAGGGTGGCTAGAAGGCGTAGGAGGAGGAGGACGGCGACGGGGAGGGGGATGCCAGGGTGGCGCTGCTAGAGAAGGCGCGCGAGCAGGTGCTTGTTGCGGAGGGCGGATGAGGATGAGGTGGTGGACGTCGAGGAGGATATTGGGCGCGGAGGTGGACGCCCTCCTCGCGGCCTCCGGGCGCGGCCCGCGGTTCTCCGCGCAGCGGGGAATTCCCATTCCACGCTGCTGCCCCTGATTTGAATGTCGGGGGCCTCATTCCGGGCGACCGGATGGCAGAGCTATTGTTGGAGCTACAGAATATCCAGTGGGATTTCGCATGCTCGAACGAGACGCGGCGGCCTGTAGCAACTTGCATGCCGGGCGCGCTTTCGCCGGGCGCGGCCGGGGCCGGCGATCGCGCGGCGTTGGCGTTCTCATTTCAGAACAGGAAAAAACATAAACACAATTGGCTGCATGGGTTTGACGCCGGAAGGGGGCGTCGAAGAGAGGGCGCCCGGAACGGATGCGGGAATCGGGGTGGCGTCGGCGTTTGGAGCTGGCGGTTCGCGCGGCAAGTGCGTCTAGCTGGCCGCGTTTGTCTGAGCCGCGTGACGGGCGGAAAGGCCGCTCGCCATCGAGTGTCGGTAGGGCACATCGCCGCGCGCTCGCGGCGGGGCGCAGGAAAAGGGGGTTGGGAAGGGAGCGCGAGCCCCCATCCCAGAAGCCCCCCTTCGATCGGCAGCAATATTTGCTTATTCGTATGCCGCGCGGCCAACCGAACGAAGAGCAATTGTCTCGGCGCGCAGCGTTAGCTTCGCTGGCGCGCGCCCTGGCTGACTCCCGTTGCTTCCTTCGCTTCTTTCTCGCCCTCCTTTTCCTTTTCCCTTTCCTCTGCTTCGCCTTGCCCCGCCCCCCCTACCTATCCAGCTCGGAGCTGTCGCCGCGCGCGAAAGGCGCAACCCAAAGGGCGTGGCTGCAATTCCTTTGTGCGCCGCGAAGTCTCGTGCAATTCCTCTGCGCGCGGTCTGGTCGCAGTGCCGGCGCGGGGGGCGCGCGCGGCAATTTCTTCTGCGTGCGGTCGTTTTCGCCGGCCCCGCAAGAGCACGCGCGACCCCTCGGCGCGGGGCTTGTTTTCCCGCCTCGAGGGACGCGCGGGGCTCGGCGCTGCAAGCGCAAGGCCGCGGCGCCTGGCAGTGCGACGCAGCTGCGCCGAATACCGCGCCCAACGCGATCCTGCGTGGATTTTGGCTGTGATGCCGAACTCGCGTTGGCAGCTGGCCAGCGGCGTCGCCGGCCCCGCGTGCCCTCGCGCGCAACTGCGTTCTGCTGCTGCGACGCGTGCTGCTGTCAACTGGCGAACAAACTGACGTTGCATGCTGGCGTGGCTGTGCCGGAGCTCCATGTAATGCCAGTTGGCAGCGGAATTTGGGATCCTGTCGCCGCCGACAGCGCTGCCGCATTATGTCTTTTAACTGCATCTTAGAGCGCGGCCGCGCATCAACCCCGGGCCCGATCGCTGGGGGCCCAGTGGCATGGGTGCTCGTGCGCTGCGCCTGCGGTGGTGCCAAAACCCTTTGAGTGACAGTCCTATGTGTTGTTTCTGGCACCTACTATTCGCCGCCGCTGGGCCCCTGGCGTGCGAATTTTCTACCATAATTTCAAGGCAACATGATTGTTGGTGCACTATGTGGATCTTTGCGCATGCTGTTGACGACTGCAGATTTCCTTCGTTCTGGCTATGGAGACACGCGTTCGCAGAGATTGTGCGACTCCTTGTCGGAGGCTTATTGAGGAGCGCACGTCGGGAGTGATCGCTCGGTGCTGCTTGGCGACTTCAACGCGCAAGCGGGTAGCAGAGAAGAGGGCGACGTACGAAGCGCCATCGGTGCATTCGGGATCGGGGAGGCCAATGCTAGAGACCATCGGTTGAAATGTTGCGCGTGCACCAGATGGCCATGCATCGCGAGCGCGTTTTTCTACAAGGGGCGGGGTGGCGTGGTGGCGCGGGCAGGTGCAAGTGGTAATGCTAAACATATTAATTCATCGTTGGTCGATGTGAAGCTTTTATTGGGCGTCGTGGACTCTTGCGCGGATCTGTCTCTGAACGTGCGAAGCGACCGTGAATGCGTTCTTGCCGAGTTCAGGTATGCCATCCCGCACCGGCGTGAGGAGGGCAATCGCGAATCAGATCGCGAGTTGGGCATCCGCGGGCGCGCGCTTGCGCAGAGTCCATCGACGGGAAGGCTCGCGACTTGAAGCCCCGGATGATGCCGTCGGCAAATGCAAGATATTGTTGGAGTTCGCGTGTCAGCTGAGTGCAATCGACGTCGCCGCGTCGTCTGCAGCGGCGGCGAATCCAGATTGCGTCGCTCGCTGGAGCAGCGGAAATCTTGACTGCGAGACCAAGCCTGGGGAAGGGCGTCGCTGAGCAAGCAAATGTCGAGGGGGGTCCGAGCGGTGCGACGAGAAGGGGCCGCCTCAACAATCAGTGCGCTCTTGGATTCTTTCCGCGATTGCATAAAGATCCCCATTGCGCAGACAGCCGAGCAGAAGCGGCCCATCGCGCACGCGGTGGGCGACGCTGGAGCTGCGCGCGCCGACGGGCAGTCTATTGCACATGTCTTTGCGGATCTTTATTCGGGCTAGCATTCCTGTGCAAGCGCCGAGCCGGCCAAGCGCTCTGATGCAACCAGTTTTTCCGATGACATTTTGGAGTTCGCGCCGGGCGAACTTGAGGGCAGACGTCCGGGGGCAGCGGCGAGGCGCGTTCAAAGACGGGCGTGGACTCGCGGCGAGAATGGTCAAGGATGGCGGCGGAGCAGCTGAAAGATTTCTGCAGCTGCGCAACAACGCCATCTCGCCCAAGGGCCTGCCACCGCGAGCACGGGGCAAGTCCGCTGTCGCCACCGCGCGCATGTCTGGCGACCCCGCGAAAGCCGCGAACTGCAGGCCCGCTGCAATAATGCCGGTTCTATGTATTTTTTTCGCGAAGCTCTTGCACTCGAGGCCGTGCCCCGTTCTGGAGAAACGTCAATCCCCGCGCCGAGCGGGGCCCAGGGTTGGCGTCGGCGCTGCGCACCATCTCTTCGCGGGGCAGCATTGCAGGAGACGCGTTGCGATTGGCGGCGAAATCTTTGGATATCTACCATCGACTTCAAGAAGGCTTTCGGCTGCGTAGATTTCGAGAGCACGCCGTGCGCGGTGACCCGGCAAGGCGCGTCGGATGGATGCGTTCGATTGCTGCGGTTGTTGTGGTCTGACCGAACTACTCAGACTCACTCACGCGTAGACTCAGCCATACTCAGTGTCACTCGCACTCGTAGTTTCTCACGCTCAGACTGACTCACACTCAGACTGACTCACACTCAGACTCACTCATACTCAGACTCAGCCATTCTCAGATTCACGTGCGCTCTGACTTTATCACACGCACTCAGATTTTACTCACACTCATACTCGCTCACATTCAGACCCACTCACACTCACACTCGCTCGTTCACACACTCGCTTACATTCAGATTCACCACTCACTTTCATGCTCAAGCTCGCTCATGCTCAGAATATGTTACCCACAAGCTCGCAGAGTGCGAGGATGTTTCGGGCGAGGCGGTTATCTCAGTACTCCCAAGGGGGGGAGCCACCAGGGTGTTTTCACGGGCCTGTTTGCGCCCATATTGTTCAGCAGGGGAAAGAACACACAGGCAACATTAATCAGCGACCCGCATGAAATTATGGCAACATATGGGAAATGGGGAGGAGACGATAATCCAGAATATATGGGGAAGTATGTGGAATCCTGGGATATGTGTCTATTTATTTGTGTGTCCCTGGGCCCCTTAAATATTGTGGGGGCGTCTCAGGCGGTTTGCCTGTTTCGGTATCCAGCAGCTTCGTTTTTCCTTTCAGAGCAGGTCGTGAGGATGTCTCGGGTGGTTTGCTGGTGTCAGTTTCCCGGGTTTTCTCAGGTGGTCAGCCTGCTCGGTGGTTTGCATGATTACCGCCTGTATGTCTGTGAGCAGTCGTCGTCGTTGTAACGCAGCCTGCCGTCGTTGTCGTGTCGTGGTCCACTCAGCTTGACCTTCACATCCGTCCATCTCGGCTTGACCCTCACGTCCGTACATTCCGCTCACAGCCGAACTTTCGCAGCGGGACGTGCCAGACAGTCAGATGAACCCGTGGGGACCTCCGCGGCGAACGCGTTTCATCGAGCTGCCCTTCTGCCCGTCGCTGGGCGTGCGGGCTTCGGTGCGTTCGGTCCAGAGCTTGAGCCCCCGAGGAGCAGCAGCAACAATTGGCGCGAACAACACCTCGAGCTCCTTCGAGCATGGCGAGTTCTGGCCCCCAGAGTGCGAAGCCGTTGCCGCCCGCGGGCCATGACGCGCCGTGGCCCGCGTGCCGTGCCGTGTCCCGCGTGCCGTGGCCGCCCGCCTCGCTCTGTGCCGTGCCCGGGTTTTTCCCGGAGAGGTGCCTCGCTGCGTGCTGCGCCGGTGCAGGGGCTCGTCGTCGGGCGCCGCGTGCCCGCACAGGCAGCGCGGCTTCTCGGGTGCGCCGTGTCGGTGCGGTGCCGTCTTGGATTCCCGAGGGCGCCCCCAGGGTTCCTCAGAGTGCACGGGTGGAGGAGGAGGAGGAGGAGGTGGAGGAGGGCCGCCGATGTCTCAATCGGCCCTGCTGCGGTGTGGGCAGCCAAGGTCGCAGACAAGACGAGCAACGCCGTGTACCAGTTCGCTGGAAACATGATGTCGGACCTCCGCAACGTCACAAAGTTGACGAAGGCAGGCCGATTGGGTGATGCGTGCGATGCACAGTGTCTCCCCGTCTAACCTTCACTTTCTGGTCCGTCCTTGTATATCCCAGCCATGTGAGGGTTGCCATGCGGTGCAGACTTCATCGACGGAGGCACGGTGTTGGGCCCACTCGCCCCCCCTTAGTCGGAGGAGCAGGAGCAGGAGGGAGGGGAGGAGGAGGACGAGGAGGAAGAGGACGGAGGACGCAGGACGGAGGACGGAGGAGGGAGGAGGGAGGAAGGAGGAGAAAGGAGGAGGGAGAAGGGAGAAGGGAGGAGGGACAAGCTAGGTGCGCTCGCGTCGTATCTGACGTTTTACCCCTCCATCCCGTCCCTTACCCTGGCGTCGATGTATTCTCTCTATTCGCACAGTCGGATGTCGAGCAGGGCAATGATCGCGAGAGGGTACGCGATGCATCGGCGATGCACGGTAGAGCACGGCATGGCATGGCGCAGAAGAGCACGGCAGAGCGTGGCGTGCCACAGCATGGCGTGGCACTGCGCAGTGAAGTGTTGCATCGCAAAGCACTGCAACGCAAATCATGGCATCGCACATCGGCGCAGAACATAACACCGCACAGCATGTCATGGCATGGCGCCAGGTTCCTTGGTGTGTAAGCGGATCGTCGTCGAGACGTCTGGGCTAGTCTGGAGTCGTGGCCCCATGTCTAGATCCGCAGGCTCCCCGGAAAGCTCCAGAAGGCGCGGCTGATGGAGAGCACCCCTTGCCTCTGCTTTCAACATCCTCTTCTCAAAGCAGAAAGGCAGAAACGGTACTCCCGCTTGATACGTCCTGAAAGCGACGACGCCCCAAAGTGTGGGGGGGGCTTGCGGCCCAAAAATCAACGAATCGGCACCGAATGTGGAATCACTTCCGATGGTTTTTTCGAGGGGGTCTTTACTAGATTTTGGGGCCTATCTGGAAGGACCGAGAAGGCCCGCGCTGCAGCGGGAGCACGGTTTGCAACAATCAGAGGCGCAGAATTGGGGCCAGCACTTGATCAGGGGCAACATTTTGAAAACCAACCAAAGCAAAATCCCATTTCCAGGAAATCTTGCGAGTAAAAAACAGAACGCGGAGCGGGGCCGGATATCTTCCGCACGTCATCAGCGCAGAGAGGAGCGTAGTCTCACTGGCAAGGGGGGAGCAGCGGCCCCCACAGTGCTCCTCCTCGTCTGCCAGGCCAGACGAGGGATTTTGGCTTCTCCTGCTCTCGAGCTGCTGTGGCATGGTCCCCGCGCCCCCGCAGCCCCGCTCCCAGAGCAGACACCAGGCCCGCTCCCAGAGCGGCTACAAGACGTGCTATGGCAAGAGCTCATGTGGCTATCAGTATAATCTGGTGGATTGGGCTCGCTGCTATCGGTGCAAGAAGTGGCTCCGCGACGACCCGGTTCGGGACACGGTCAAGGGGCCCCCCCGTCCTTGGTCAGGCGAGCAGCAGTCCAAGGATGCATGGCAACAGGTGGAGTCCACGCGCCGCAAGGCCAAGTCGGGCCCAGGCACGAGTGCTGACCAGTCCCAGTCTGGGAGGGGGAAGGGCGGCTCGGCCCAGCAGCGCAGTGGCAAAGGATCGGACACAGGTGGCAAGCAGACGCAGCGCGACTACCTCGCGGCTGCAGTGGAGCAGCTCACGCTTGCTGGGCTGGCAGACGACCACCCGCTCATGGTGGCCGCCAAGGCTCAGGAGCCCTCCGCTGCTGCTGCTCAGCCTGACGAACGTGGCCCACCGCCATGGATGCGAGTTCGGTCCCATCAGGACAAGCTGGCCCACTTCCAGGGCCAGCTTACTGCGTCGAAGGCGACGGAGGCCAACCTCCGTCAACAGATCACGGAGCTGGAGCAGGACCTGGAGGACTGCGTTGCATCCCAGGCGGCTCTGGCGGAATCGGTCAAGAAGGAAGAGGAGGAGCTCCAGAGGCTCCATCGACGTGCTGCTCTTCACCCTGCTGGTGATGACTGCAAGGCGGCTGTCAACGGGCTGGTGGAGACGCTGTTCGGCCATCTGCCCGATTCGTTCAGAGTGGCGAAGGCGGACCAGCTCCGCACCGCGGTGGACCTCCTGGGCGACCTGGCTGCTGCTGGGGCCTCTTTCCAGGAGCAGGAGGAAGCACGGCGGAAGGCACAGGCCGAGGAGGCCGCGCAGCGTGCCATGTCGGGCAGCGGCCCTTCGCCAGCCCCAGCGGCACCCTCGGACTCACGTGTGGCGGAGGATTGCAAGCAGCAACTTACTGAATTGCTGGAGGGCGGACAGGCAGGGCAGTACGAAGGTCTCTACAGGACCATGCTCGATTTCCTGCAGAACCCTTCAGCCCTCAGCAAGAGGCCCAGGAGGGACGCGCCAGGCCCAGAGGCTGCGGCGGCGGCGGCCCCCTCGGCCGCGCCTGGCCCTGCGGCTGCTGATGTTCCTGCTGATGTTCCTATGCCTGCTGACCGCGATGTCGCTGGTGCCCCACCCCCGTCGGGGTAGCGGGGTCGGCGCTGCAGCTGCTGGACGCCGCCTGCCTGCGCCCGCCTAACACCGAGGCAGGTGGCGCTCCCTGGCGGCGCGGGCTGGGGCTACTGGCCATCGACGAGTTCGAGGCGAGAGTGTGCAGGAGGAGACTCCTGCGGTGCAGGAGGAGACTCCTGCGGCCCGTCGGCCTGAGGTATGGAAGCTGTGTACGGCCAACATCACCTCGTGGGGCATCGAGTGCGGGGACAGGGGTAAGGTCACGAGAAGGCCCTTCCTGGAGCTCTGCGACTCTGTGGATGCCGACATCTACTTTTTCCAAGAGCACCACCAGACGGAGCTACGTTTGGTGGACGTTCAGCAGGCGCTGGTCAAGGCTGGCATGGTCTCACTCCTCACTCCTGCTGCCCCCCTCAGGTCGTTCAGAGGCTGGCACCACTGGAGGAGTGGGCATTGCGACTTCGAAGCTCTGGGGCCTCAAAGGACTCGATGATTTGCCTGAGGGTATCGCGGTTCCTCCTGGATGTCGATTTCGTCTGGGGCTCTGGAGTGGGTTATGTACTGGAGGTGTTTTAGTCGGATCGGTCTACCTGCACACTGGAATTGGCTGCCGCGGTCAAAATCTTTCCTTGCTGCATAGTATTGGGGAGGTCCTGAGGGCGTATGGCATGCCGTTTATTCTGGGTGGAGATTTTCAGTTTTCAGCGGAGCAACTGGTCGAGTCTGGTTGGATTGGGGATCTTCAGGCGGAGGTGGTCTCTGACGTCTCGAATTGGACCTGTCAGTTGGGTACGTCTCGGTCGTCCATCGATTACTTTGTCCTCTCCTCCTCGCTCAAGCAGTTTGTGGTGAGCTGCTCAGTTGCGACATGGTCTACCTGTACCAGACCGCACCGCCCTGTGGTGCTGAGCATGTCTGGCCACCCGCGGCAGGTGACAGTTCCCAGGCTCAAGAAGCCGTCGGCGTTCCCTCTCCACCGCCCTGTTGGATGCGTCCCTCGCCCCCTGGAGTGGGATGACTTGCGTGATCAGCTCTCCCAGGGGGATTGTACCAAGGAACGTCTGGATGCTGTCACTTCTCTGTGGGTTCAACGGGCTGAGGTGGCTCTTTCTCGCGTATTTCATGTCGATGGGGATCCACGGTACCGAGGCCGAGGAGGCCCCCCCAAGGTGGTGCAAGTCCCTCTGCTCGGCCCTCCTGCCTCCACTCACCCCAGGGCTATTGGGGAGGGCCGTATGTGGCGTGTCTTGGAAAGGCGACTCCAGGACATCGTGTATCTCTGGCATGGGCCTGCGCCCACCTTGGGGGGGATCAAACAAGCGGGGATCCTCTTGCGGAAGCTCGTGAACTACCTGTCCCCCTTCACCGATTGCAAGCATTGGGCTTCTTGGCGAGTTCGGGTTCTGGCCGTCAACCCTGCCAGCGTCTCGGAGCTCCAGGAGTTGATCTGGCAGGTCCGCAAGTGGGCCCTTCAGCACGAGCATCATGCGGCCTCGGAGCGGGCCCGAGCCTGGCGTGAGTGGGTTCAAGATGCGTTATCTGGGAGCGCTCGACTGGGCCACCGGTTCACCAAAGAGGTTCCGAAGTGGGCTGCATCTGGGCTCTCTTGTTTCTCGGGGCCGTCTGGTGAGCCTCTGGGGATTGCTGCTGAAGCCGATCTTCGGGCTCAAAAGTGGCATCAGCATTGGGGTGTCGGACAAGTTTTCCCAGAGCCTGATTTTGGCTGGTGCGATGACGAGCCAGAGCTGGAGGCCCCCACCCATGAGGAGCTCTTAGCCCTTACCAGGACCTACAGCACGCACACGGCCATCGGAGTCTGTGGCCTGCATCCCCGTCACTGGTCCGTCCTCGACGACGGCGCTGTCGCGGTTTTCCTTCGGATCTGGGCCGAGATGCAGCGCCTGGTCCACATTCCGAGGTGCTGGGCTCTGCTGCTTATTGCTCTTCTACCGAAGCCGCCGCCTGAAGGGGGAGATCGTCCTATTGGGATCTTCGCGACGCCTCTTCGGTTGTGGCCCCGCTGGGCCCGATGGAAAGTTGCTGGCCCTTGGGAAAAGGCAAACCCTCGCGTGTTCTGGTATGGTGACTCAGGGGCCTCATGTGACATTTGCGTTTGGAAGCAGAGTTTCAAGGTGGAGTTGGCCAGAGACCAGGGCAGAGCGGCAGGGACAACCCTGCTCGACCTGGTCAAAGCATATGAGCACGTGCCCCACCATGTTTTAGCTGCAGCAGCCCGTCGGCACAAGTTCCGAGGTAAGACCCTTCGCTTCCTGCTCGCATCATATTGCCTCGACAGAATGGTGCTCTTCCAGAACATCGCCACGCAGGTGGTGGTGACGCACCGCACGATTGTCGCGGGCTGCAGCTGCGCGACTTCCCTACTGCGTCTGGTGCTCTTGTCGCCAGTGGATGCCGTCTCTCTTCGCTTCGTGAATGTCGAGGTGGCGGTCGTGGTAGATGATCTGCAGTTGCAACGTATTGGCGAGGCATGGGAAGTCGCCAGGGAACTCAAGGGGGCCGAGGACCTATTGGCGGCTGA